TCCCTGAGATTATCTTCACCAGGTAAAGACTAAAGAATAAACTTACATTGTTTTATTCTCCTAGGAATTTTTCCAGGACCACTATACTTTTTCAAACCGCTCATTATTACTAAGCAAAATCTTAGCAACTAAACTTTTTTCTCACCAACATTTAAGAAAATTGGGAGAAACTGTAGTTATTATAATTAAAGTGGGCGAATTAATTGTATCTATTATTTATAAAGGTCTAAAGTAAAATGGGATTCGAATTGGAGAGGCTTCAATTAATTGTCTCTCGATGTAATAATTAATTTCCAAGGCAACCGTTATACCTACCTATTTTTTTTATAGTTAGTACCAATGTTAGTACCTATAAAGTTAATTGTTGAACTTTTGTTTTCTTATTGAAAATAAATACCTAGGCAAACCCAAGAGCGAATATCAAAATCAAATCAGTCTATAGTGAAGCTTTTATTCACAATACTGGACTTAATAAATGAACAATTCCGAGAAACATAATTATTTGACTGCAAAATCTATTATTATTTTCTATTCCGTAGTTACATATATTGCTTTTGTTGGGTTAGTTCGACAAAATATTTAATTGTGCCACAAACTATTTCCAGAAAATTTATCACTAGATTCAGATATTGAACAAAAAGTCAAAATCCAGTGTAGTTGCCAAGTATGCATAGTATGCAAGTATTATGAACAAGATGTATTATTTTTTGAAGGAAACGACAAAGTGTGAAACTCAATTTTAACTCCATCACTCATTAATAGGAAGCGTTTCCATTAACCAATATCAAATTATTATCCAGACCGGTTTGAGATAGTCTAGATTACACTGCATAATGTATTTAAAATTTAAATTAATTAAATTGCAAATTAAAGATGTCAGATTTAAGGAGCACATTATATCTTTCGTGGGAAATAGTGCAAATACCGTTGCAGGAGATTTCTTGAACAGTCTAGGTCTAGGCAATGGTCTAGGTCATACTCTTTCATTTGAATGTTATCTTTGCCAAGCTTTTCACTTCATAGTGATATCTAATAGTTCTTCTTCCTTCAAGAAATTGGAAATGCCACTTTTATAGATAATTATTATTTTTCCACTTACATGTCATTTTGCAACAAATTAAAAACGTCTTGATGGAGAAGAATGATAGACCGTTATAAGAGTTTGTTATTGTGCATTGTAACATCGAATGATCGAATGTTCATCACGGTTTAAAGTGTCAACTGACGTATTGTCAAGAAATAGTTCGACTTACTTCAGGTAAGTATAATCACGTTCACTTGGGTATTTCGAACATTTAAACTTTTAGGTAAAACGATTGATCGTATCTATTCTTATCTCAACATCTTGCGATACTTATATGAGCATGAAAGGGAGACAACTCCAAAAGCAGAATAAACGACGAATAATTTAATTTCAGTAGAATGCAGTAGATTCAACGCTCAGTGCTATGACTGAAGCTAAGCTTGCAAGTCATTAAAAAGTTACAGGAAAGAGAATTTGTCCCGATAATAGACGAAGAAAGGAAAATGGCGTAAAATTTAGCTGTTCATCTAAGAAAAGCTTAAAGGTTCAAAAATCAACAAGGTAAACGCATATTGCATTTTTTTCTCTTTTCACACAGCAAAAGCTGACTTCAGAAGGATAGTCATCCTAACGAGACATGATATTGCTGGAAGAAAGAGAAAAAAATTATTCAATCTTACCTGGCAAGGAAGAAAATAGAAGAAGCGTGATATATGTCGAGTGAAAATATGTGTTGTTTTATTTTTTCCTTTATTTTTCCGTTCACTGCGAGTCTCGAAATGCTCACTTGCTAAATGAAATTATTGATCTCGTAGCTGATCCTGCTAAGGCTGAAGTTGGCAAATTTTTATACTAGCTCTGAAATAAAGATGCGGGAAAAGGACCATCTTGTTCTATACCTGTAGACTAGAAAAGATTATACTACAATAAGAAATAGGTAACTTCTGGCAGGCGTGTAGCCAGAAAATCCAAATGGGGGGGGGGGGGTTTGCTATTGAAAATAAGAACATTGCATGACCATATGGATGCAAGAAAAAAAATTGCGTCGAAAATTTTGTAGAATTTCAAGGTCAAATGCTTTATATGAAAAGAATAAAATTTTGAGGGTAAAAAAGTATATGCTAAAACGTAGGTTTCGTGTGGTGATTTTTTTTTTAAAATTATACTTTGTGATCAAGTGGGGGGAAGGGGGTTTTAACCCCCAAAACCCCATCGTGGCTACGCCCCTGACTTCTCGAAAAACATTGACTGTCGACACCCAAAAATCGCCATCCAAAATGTTGATGGGAAGAAAGTTTGGGACCAATCGAGGGGTCAACATCAAGAATAAGGTATAAAGCATTGAAAATCAAGGAGTAGGCTCAGGAGTTAGGTTATCTCGACCTAACACAGTAAATTGTATTTCGGAAAGCGTCAATTGCATTTTAGATTAGTTGATTGTATTTCAGAAAACGTGAATTATATTTAGAATTTGTCAGATGTAGTTCAGAAATCATAAGTTGTATTTCAGATAATAATAGATATTTATTTTATTAGAGGTATAAAGAAATCCTATGTAATGTGACGTGCATGGAAATTTGAACGCCGAGTGCAGATACCTACGCAGATTTTTCCAAATCAACACGCAAGCTAAGTGTATAGAGGACCCATTATAAATTCTATTAAATACACTACATTGATAACATGTGAAATACATTTGACGAATTCTGCAATACAATTTGAAATTTCTGAACTTCAAATAAATAATCTGAAACACAAATGACGTTTTCTGAGTACAAGAGACCAAACTGAAATACGAATGACTTTTTCTGAAATACAGCTGACCAAACTGAAACGCAAATGACGTTTTCTGAACTAAAAACAACTGACAAAGTTGAAATACAAATTACACTTTCTGAAACAGCTGGAATACAATTGACGCATTCTGAACTAGAATTGATGAATTTGAAATACAAGTGAGATAGTCTGAAATACTTATGGAAAAGGTGTAATGATACAGGTATGACTTCAAGGCGAATATTTCCTTGTTGAATAAAAGTGATATTGAAAGGCTTTCGAATGTACATTAGCAAACATTTTAAGTACTATTTTCTGACTTAGCTATTTCTCAAACGCCTATATCACATGCTGTAGTAAAAATAACTCTTAATACATAGGAAATTATTTTAATAAAAACAACATGGGAATACACTAAAAATACTTAGGAATAAGTACTTGGGAATAGGATGGAAATAACTAGGAATACATGGCAATACTTTGTAACAATCGAGAAATACTTAGAACTAGGTACCTACCTGAGAAATACTGGGAATAATTTGAAAATATCCAGAAATGCTAAAGAATATGGGGAAAATGTACTTGAAAATTCACCAAAGTATTCCCAAATATAGAAATCCCTGGACGCTTTACCTTTGAACGGTTGACCCCTCGGGACCAACTTACTTTTCTCAAGGAACAAATTAAAACCAAAATTTCATACTGAACAGCACATTGAAATATTACATGTAAATCAAGAAAGAGATCACCACTAAGTACAATACAAACAAAAAACCACCCGCTACATTATCTAAAGGACCAGTAATGATTCAACAGTCTGCAAGGAAGTGAAGAATGAGTTAGTTTATTACTATACATACATACATACATACATACTTCGTTACATTGCTATAATAAAGACTCCACTCCATCCTTCCTTCACTAGACGATTCATCTGTCCTCTGTAATATAGGACTAGGAGAGCACATCATTTTTATAGGGATGACATTTTTTCTTTTTGAAATAGAATTTATTTTCCGAAAAAAATTCGTTTGCGTTGAAAGATTTTCTTGTATCCCTAGCTCTATTTTTATATACATAGTTGACCTTCATTTAGTTTGAAGGTAGAAAGAAGAAAGTAATTATTTCGAGTTTTTGAATCTCTCATGGCTTCAGCCTATTATTAAAAAAAAATGTTCCCTAATTGGCTACAGGTGGACGACTTGCAGGGCAAACGTTTTTGGTATGTTTTTATAACACACTGCAGCTATTCGTTTTTGACTATGATACAAAAATACCTCAACACAATAAAAGATGAACTGTTGGTGGATACTGTCTAGTTTGTGGTTTGGTTTAAAAAAAACCAGACATAACGTCCTTGAAAACAGGAAGTTGGCAACCTTGGACTGAATACTAAGATTTCCAAAAAACGATCTGCGAATTTCTATGAATAATATTTTTGGCTGAGCAATAATTATTGTTTTATATGACTAGAATAATTATAATAGTAATAATATTTGACACGAAAATTATTTTATTTAAGAATTTATTCTCTTAAGGTATTTAAGGTTTTTCTTCAAAGTGAATGTATGTACATATAATTAGGTATGTAGGTATTTTTATGAGGATATAAAGTAGCTACCAAAGGTATCAATAGATAAATTTGAACGGTATTACTTTGTGCCGTCGAAATTTCTTCAACCTTTTTGCATATACCTACACGTACACTTTGCCTACACATAGAAAATTTATTTGAAAGTTGAAATCTCAGGCCAGAATAGATGAAAATATACCTACCTAAATTTCTAGGTAGTGCCAAGGGTAGGTAGTGAAGACCTAGAAATACCTTCATAACTAGATAAATGATTCCCTGCAGATTAAAGCTACAAAAAAATTAAGTGTTGCCTTTTGTTTGGGATAGAAATAGTAAATCTTGGCACAATAATTTTAAATCAAAAATAACTTTTAACATATTTGTTATTAAAATAGTTTAAAATCAGATAATATATTCATGGGAATTTTTATTTGTCGTGCAATCAATTGGATGGTAAATTTTTATCGATATAATAAGCAACACTACAACACGGCGTTGGCTTCCATAAGTATTTTTTTTCAACGCATATTCAAATAAGCATGTTTTCTTTGCTTCAAGACGCCACCATCTCTTCTAATAAAAGAACATTCATCTTCATAACACACAAACTAAACAACCTAACCTAACCTGATTTCCGTGCTTGCCCGCAGCTACAACAATCTTTGAGCTAACGGATTCGAAAATTCCGAACTGTCGTATGTATTTTTCGGCCAACGGGTACCGTTTCGGCCACCCGGTACCGCAAGGGCAGACCCTTTATTCCGTTCCACCACCGATTTTGTCACCATATGCCCATATTTTCGTTCGTTATTTTTATCGAAGCCCACGTAAAAAGCGTACTACTCCCGTAAACGTTTCACGGTGAACTGCTCACCTGTACCGCAGCGATGTTGCCGTACCACCATTGACAAAAATCAGTTAACTGTACTAAAATATTATTAAATATAATCATGATAAAATAGAAGGCAATTGTTTTTTTTGCAACAATCGATACTTGAAGAATATAAAGCAGATTTATTTGGCGAATGGCTTCAGGATTACGAATGATAGTACCCCGAGTAGATAGCACCAAAATAGTACCTCTTCAAAATAAGCTGGTTATCTTTGTATTATTTTATATTAATGGGGTCACAAAATAGGATATAGCAGTTCCAGATTTCAGCTATTCTTTCCTAAAATGCCCAAAGCCTAGAAAAAAGTCTCAGATATGGAGATATGGCATCGAAGGTTTCAAGGACATCCACAACCAATATAAACTTATCTACTGTTGATTGCTAATGTTTATCAAATATCATTTTATCTACAGTTCGGTGCTGCCCTTCGACCCAATATGACGTCGGTCTCTCCAAAATACATTTAGTAAAATCAGTTAAATCACCTTTTGATATTTTTCACGGGTTATTTTTCTATAACATTAGAGTGTCGTTTGAAACCTCGTCGGGGCGTTCCACTGATCTTGATGTCGCCCTGTCGTCCCTGTTGATGGTTATATCATATTCCTTGCCTTTTGCCTTCAGGGGAGTTTCAAACAGTACGTTGCTTGATGAAAAACAAGCGTTCCTCCCTCGGTTCCTCCCTTCGCAAAGTGGCGTTTCCTTGATTATCTGGATGCCTTCCTTCCTCCGCATCACGGTCTTCTAAATGGGATCGTCGCGTACAGTTTCTACCAATAAGTCCTTTGCGCTTCGCGGACGCAGTTGTAACACCTTATTGGTTTTCTAGATTTAGAATCGCATTCTCAATATAGCCTCTAACCGAGCCTCTAACTTTAAAAAAATATTTTCCACCGACAGTGTTCGGGCGTTCTTCGGATATCCTCACCTTCCTACTTTTGCTTCTTCTATTTAAATACGCATTTTTGACAGCATCATACTCCATTGGTAGGGACAATGGTTTCGGACGTTTCGGCCTAGAGTTGTTCCCATGCCTACTAAGTTTTTTTGCGCTTGTTGCAGGTCTATATCTCTTACTCCACCGCGATGACGTACCGGACATTTATTTGTTCAATATAATAAAGTTCAAAAACTCGTCGATATGCCAATTGTCAATTCCCCCCCCCCCCCCAGAGCTATAAAAAAAGCAACAAGGATCTAAAAAAAAAACTTAAAGGTTTTTGTCTCGGCTCCATATAGAAGGCTGCTCTTTATCATTGTCTCGTATATATTGAATTTTCTCTTTTTTGTTATTTCCTTGCTCTATGATATTCCATTCAGGCATCCTATTATTACTTTTTTAGCTTTAACTGTTCGCTTTTCTATTTTCGACATTGCATAATTTCCTGACCATCATCAACTTCCAAGTTTCCGTTCTGGGTGCCTACACATAGATATTTTGTTTTATTTATAATAACTCTCAGGCCTCATTCTTGGTACTCTTCTATCAGCTTTCTAATCATATATTGCATGTCCTCTTTATTACTGGCCACTATGACCTGATCATCTGCAAACTGAAGAGTAAACTGGCACCTATCATTTATCTCTATACCCATTCGATGGATCTTCCTCTTCCAATTTTTCAGTAGGAGAGATACAACATCGTTGACGTAGTCCTTTTTTCACTATAAATGTGTCTTTCAGTTTTTTACCTATCTTAATTATTGATTTTGAGCCCTTATATAGTTCTTTAAGTGCCGTTATATAGGTGTGATCTCCGGTGTGATTGATGTTGGATTGTTCTTATACCTTCCATAGTTTGAATACTGGGACTGTATCGTATGCTTTTTGTAGGTCCACAAATGTGAGGTGGGTTTCCGAATGTCTAGCAGATCTCTTTTCTATGACTTGTTTTAGGCAGAATACGTTGTCCGTACCTGATCTTCCTGCTCTAAAGCCGCACTGCTCTCCTTCTTCTTCTTACTCTTTATAATCTTCTTCAATGAGATCACGCAGGATTCTACCGTATAGTCTGCTTAGTGTGCTTTTGACTGATATGCCGCGATAGTTATTGCAATCCAGCTTATTTCCTTTTTTGTGAATAGATGATATATAAAAGCCGTTTTCCAGTCTTGTGGAACAAGATGTCCATTTAGGCATTTATTGATTTAAAGAGCTTCTCAATTCCCCATTACAGCATTTCGGGGTATATCCCTTCTGGGCCGCTAGCTTTACCTGATTCTTAACAGTATTTTTCACTGTTTCTTCAGATATCTCAACTACTTCTCCATGTACTTCAATATGTCTTGGAGAATCTAATATATATACAATTCCGGTCTACTTTCTTGTAATAGTGTTCTATCCATTGCTCTGGTTAAATAATCTGGATATTAGCTCTGTCCTTTCCTGGGTTTTGTACATTTGATATAAATCTCCATACCTCTGAGCATTTCCTTCCTCCTATGTAGGTGTTAATTTCTCCACATTCCTTATCCCATGACTCGTTCTTAGCTATAGAGATGCACGTTCTTAGTAGTCTTTTTGTGTCTTTATAAACTTCAAGGTCTTGTTCATTTTTTGTTGTTAGCCATTTCAGATATTTTTGCTTCTTCTCTTGGACTAATAGCTCTATCTCCTCGTTCCACCGGTATTTCTTGTTGGTATTTTTTTTTCTTCGTTCCTATTGCTTCTTGGGTGGCTTCTATTAGACTCCTTATATTGTTCTCATAGAGTTTATTGAAGGTACATACATTCTTCATCGAGTCGCCTCTGATATAGAAATACAGTGCTGTCATCTCTTATTGGACTTCACCTATATACCGGGTGCCCACGAGATCACTTTCCGGCTGCCATTTTTTTATTTATTTATCGATAAGTTATGACAAGTTTTCCCGACTTCCGGTTTCACCGGAAATGACAGCAACTTTTGATTTTTAAATGGCACACCCTGTATATTTTTTGTTTTTCGGATTCTACAGATCGTTTTACATCCTAATGCACCACTTTTGAATCGATTTTTGTCCAAATTTTATTTTTAAATTAAATTTTATTTTTTTAACTAGAGTGCCATGATCATCCTAAAATGACTCTACATACTTTACTTAATTTCAGAAAAATACAAACTCAATTTTATCTTTGTAAACTTTTTTGATAGAGGGCTGTAAACTCCATTATTTCAGTATTTTTGCTCTAGCTCAAAAAGTAGAATAGAAACATATCACTTTCATAACATTACTAAATACAGTATTTTAAAGCGAATCCAACGATATTACACTACGACAATTTTCTCAATTTTCGTTCATATACTTATTTTTGTAGGTAATTTTTTTTTCTACTTAAAATTTAATTTGAAAACGAAATTTGGACAAAACTCGATTTAAAAGTGGTTCATTAGGACGTAAAACGATCTGTAGAATCCGATAAACAAAAAATATACAGGGTGTGCCATTTGAAAATCAAAAGTTTCGGTAATTTCCGGTGAAATCGGAAGTCAGAAAAAGTTGTCATAAATGCATAAAAATGGCGTTTGGTTAGAATATCAACCCTACCAAATTTCGTTGATATCGATGAACAAATAAAAAAATGGCAGCCGGAAAGTAATCTCGTGGGCACCCGGTATATACAGGGTGTCCCACGGTGGATGGCGTATTAGACGTTTATGGAGAACTAAAAAGCGGATCATTTTGAAAATTTGGCAACCAGGGTAAACAGCCATGATCTACACTTTAAAAATATTTTTGTTTATGCGATGTTGCCGCTTCTACTCTAAACCAGTGGCAACAACGCTATTTTAAATAGAATACCCTGTATGTGATTACATATTTTGATTCTACGTAAAATTCTGAGCAGATTTCATGTGATATACCCTATACCTAAGTTCAACTGTTTTGGAATTATTGACAGTTGAAAATTGACTTTTTGCAACTTTGACAGGCTGTGAAACCTGAACGGTTAATTTAAGAGAAAAACCAATTTCACATTCCTGTCTTACATTTTCATGAACTATCATTTGACACCAACTTTGAATTTATCCGGAGATTGAATTTAATTGGAATTTTTAATCATGGATTAAATTTGAAGTTGGTATCAAATGATAGTTTATAAAAATCTAAGATAGGAATGTAAAATCGGTTTTTCTCTAAAATTAACCGTTCAGGTTTTACAGCCTGTCAAAGTTGCAAAAAGTCGATTTTCAACTGTCAATAATTCCAAAACAGTTGAACTTAGGTATAGGGTATATCACATGAAATCTGCTCAGAATTTTACGTAAAATCCAAAGATGAAATCAGATACAGGGTGTTCTATTTAAAATAGCGCTGTTGCCACTGGTTTAGGGTAGAAGCGGCAACACCGCATAAACAAAAATATTTTTAAAGTGTAGATTATGGTCGTTTATCCCGGTTGCCAAATTTCCAAAATGATCCGCTTTTTAGTTCTCCATAAACGTCTAATACGCCATCCACCGTGGGACACCCTGTATGTGGGTGAAAATATATTCGAATTTTGGGTATGAGGGTCATTTCTGTTATTTTTTATGCCTTACGGGGTTGAGACTGCGTGTAATTCCACGTATGAGTTACGACAATGCAAAGACCAACCAGGACGACTTAAGGAATGAAGATCGCGGTTAAGGGAGGTGCTGTAATCGATTGTCATCCAGCTACTAGAAAACTGGAGCTAAAGAGGAAAATGGAAGGAAATTCTTGCAGATGGAGCTGCGGCCAGGGTTCGCATAATTGAATCGTCTAGTAAGTTGATCTTAATAAATAAAGATAGCATGCTACTACTGAGAGTCTGAGAATTCTCACTGGATGAGAACTCTCCCAAATCAACATCCCTCCTACGGTATTTTATTCCCTTTATGAATGAGTGAAGTACCACCGCAATAATTAAAGGTTTCAAATAGGTGTATTATTGTCCCGGAAGGCACAATAAATCAATAAATTGGCCAGGAAGATCGCCGCATCTGACCCCTTT